CTCTTTTCTTTATTTGTTTGGATTCAGGGTCTAAGTATGCAGTTCTGGCTGTCCTGGAATTCACTTTGTAGACTAGGTTGACCTTGAACTCACAGTGTCCTGCCTGTCTCTACCTCCTGGGTGAAAGGATTAAACAAATATGCCACCATGTTTAATTGAGGCAGTGTACTCTTAAAGAATACATTGGGAGGCCCTTGGTGTAAAGCCATTTCTTGCACATATATTTGAAAATTTATCTTGGAAGACATTCCCACAGGAGTGAAATTGTGAACAAGCGATTTTTTGGGGAACACAATACCACCACACCCACCTGCACCAAGGCTGTGTAAGGTGTCACACCACAGGCACCAGATTCCCAAAAGCCTGCCCATGCACCAGGGATGTATCCCAATACCCCTGGCTGGGTGCCCCCAAACAGTTTGTGCCAAACAACCATCTCCTATATCTAGGGGGCCTAGTCCAGTCCCAAGGGGGCACCACAGCCACTAGTCTACAGTTCATGGCCTTCCACTAGTGTAGCCAGTCATCTCTACATGTCCTCCCATGATGATCTTGATGTCCCCTGCCTGCAGAATCCCTCCTCTCTCTCATTGATTGGATTCCCGGAGCTCAGCCTGGCACCTGGCTGTGGATCTCTGCATCTGCCACTATCAGTCACTGGACAAAGGCTCTATGATGGCAGTTAGGGTATTCTTAAGCTTTAATTTGGATATGGACAGCATGGAAATCTTTCCCTCTGAAATTGCAAACTTGTCTCTTTTCTGACAATATTATGTATAAAGAACAATTCATTCTGGAATGTACAAGTGGACATTCTTTCCACTTGAACTCACCTGGGGATTGCTCCTTCTTTGAAATATGATCTTATTTTTAATGCTGAAGATTTTAAGAAACATAGAGATGTATTAGAAATTCTCTTCATATATATGAGCAGATACAGACTTCAACAACTTCACTGAAAGTTGTTACTGATGGTAAAGTATTAGTTTTGGGACAGTCTAGCTAAGCTATATTCTATACTTTTGCAATCTTGAACTCAAGTGTTTGTTCTACACAGGCATAATATGTCAAAAAATGTCAAGTATTGCCTGATTTGCATGATTTATCTCAGAGACATAATTGTAGTCAAAATTTGAAAGTAAAATTGCCAATGACAGAATGGACTCCAGGAACTTGGCAATAAGAATAGTGCTTTCACTTCAGAGTGCAACAGGGATACTGGGAAATGTATCTTTTCTTTTCTACTATCTACTCATTTACTACAATAAACACACATTAAAGACTATAGACTTAATTCTTACACATGTCTTCACAGCCAACTCCTTGATCATTCTCTCTACAGGAGTCCCCCAGGTAATAAGAGCTTTTGGGTGGAAATGGTTCTTCAATGATGTGGGATGCCATCTTATTTTATATGCTCTCAGACTTGGCAGAAGCATGTCCATCAGTACCACCTGCCTCTTGAGTATCTTCCAGGCCATCATTATCAGTCCTTGTGACTCGTATTGTAAAGATCTTAAAATCAAAGTACAAAAATATATTCGCCTCTCCATTTTCCTCTTCTGGATCCTGTACATGGTAGTAAATACAATTTTTCCCATGTCAATGCCTACCAAAAGGAATAGCAAAAATAAGACACAAAATACAGATTCTGAATTCTGCTTCTCTGTAAGTCATGACAAAATAGTAGATTCATTGTATACGACATTTTGGGTATTCCCTGAAGTCGTATTTTCTATGCTCATTGTATGTTCCAGCATCTCCATAATTGTCTTACTTTATGGACACAAGAAGAGGGTTCAGCACATCTTCAGTACTCATTCCTCCCCTAGAGCCTCTCCTGAATCCAGAGCCACACAGACCATCCTGGTCTTTGTTTGCACCTTTCTCACTTTTTATACCATTTCCTCCATTTTACAAGGTTACATTGCTATTTCTCAGAATCACAACTCGTGGCTAATATATATCACAGCCATTATTTCTATGTCTTTTCCTACTTTAAGCCCCTATGTGATGAGTCATGATTCCATTATTTCCAGATTTTGCTTTTTCTCGATAAGGTATATAAAATGAAATAATATTATCATAATTATGTAAATTGTATCATTGTAGTGTTGTATATCTAAAAATTTATGATGTCTATTATTTTAGCGGTAAGATCATTTCCCAGAATAATGGTAGTATATTCTTCATTATTGCCTATGGCCAGGCTAGCTACATGTTCTCAGCTACATTAATCATTATAGTTATGGACTGTTCACTGAATGGCCTTCTATCTGCTGTTGGATGGTCTGCATGTAAAATTAGTCTGATTGGTCAATAAATAAAACACTGATTGGCCAGTGGCTCCGCAAGAAGTATAGGCGGGACTAACAGAGAGGATAAAAGAAAGAACAGGAAGGCAGAAGGTCTCACTGCCAGCAGCTGCCATGATAAGCAGCATGGGAAG